TTAAAAAAGAATGGATCCATCTGAAAGAAGTATGGATCCATCCCAGAAAGTATGGATTCCATCCCCCCAAAAGTATGGATTCCATCCCCCAAAAGTATGGATTCCATCCCAAAAAGTATGGAATCCATCAGCCATTCCATGGAATCCATCTGGAATTTCTGGAATCCACCCCCCCTTCCATGCATTCCATATGGATTAAGCCAGGGATGGTAAAGTACAGGAATTTCCAATGAATTTATATTGCAAATCCATGTACAGTCATGCACGTGCCAATGCCACACCCAAATCATAGAAATCATGCAATGAAAGGAATAGATAGAATTTCACAAACAAAAAGGTACAACAGTATCAATGTGTATCCCAGCTACAATATGAGAGTGATTTTAAAAGAAATGAGCAAGATTTGAGAGCAGGGCAAAGGAATTGGGGGGTGGCTGAGGTGAAACTGGAATTATGGGTCAATGGTACAGGGCCCGGCCTGCCTAACCCGTTCAGTCATTGTCGTCATTGTTGTTGTCTCCATCGCTGCCACTCACACTTGCACTTCCCCCCCCCCCCTTCGTCAGTGTTGTCACCACTGCGCTCAGGTTCTTGATCCTCAGCTACGCCACCCAGAAAGTCCTTCAACTTCGGCTTTGGGGTGGCTTTCAGGGCTGGATCCCCCTTTGGTTTGATTAAGGTGAAGCATGTTCCCTTTGCCTTTGCAGCATCCCATTTCTTCTCCCATGCTTTGACGGCCTTGGCATCCTTTCGCTCCTGTTCAACAACCTCCCATTCCTCAACAGCTGCCTTGTACAATGCTCTGCCATCCTTCTTCCTCTCCTTCTCCCTCCCAACCTCACGCATCTCCTTCTCCCTTGCAACCTCACACATCTCCTTCTCTTTCTGCTGCGCTAGCTCGTAGAACTCATCCCCACTCAAAAGCCAAGCCAGACCATCACCGACCAGCTTGATGGTCTTCTTCTTATTGCACTTCTCTTCTCGTGCCGCCAGTTTTGTGCAGAGCTGCTTTGCATAGGCTTCGTTGAGGATGTTGGATGCTTGGAGCTTGAATGTGTGGACTTCAGTGCAAAGGTTCTGGCTTTGTGATTCCAGAAGCGCTGCCAGAAGAAGCAGCTCGTTTGCTGTAGTGGGCACAATAGCCAATGCCGCTGCTGTGTTGTTGATGGGAACAGAATTTTGCTGGACAGTACAGGTGGTAGTGGTAGGCATGGGATCAGCAGCAGTAGTGGCGGTATCTGGAGTATCTCCCACGATTTGAAGGTCCCTCAACATGGTGGCAAGAATCTGGACAGGCTGAGAGGAAGTATGGACAGGAAGGTGGCTCTGGATGGATGTCTCCTTGCTTGGTGCAAGCATATCAGCAGTAATGACATTGGGATTGAATGGCCATCACCTTCTGGTAATGTGGGTGCAGGTGAAATTGTATCCCTAATTGCTTCATATGCAGTGCCCATTTCTCCCTTTTTTCAGCATTTTTATACCCCATCTGTCCACACAACTGACTTGCCATGCAGTGGCAAGTCAGAGCCATCTTCTGGTTGATTTCCATCTGCACTCGTGAGTAGAAACATGGCCCCCATGTTGTTGTAAATTTAATTAGAATCACAATGAAACAAAACATGGGTGGAGTTGAAAATAGGCCCCAACAGCCAAAACATGTCATCGCAGACTTTCAAATAGATTCATTGATGGCACTACTCTCACCACGTCCCCTCTCACCTTACAACCGTGGTCTCACTCACCACGCATGATGACTCCTCAGTTTCTCCCTGCTCCCACAGCAACCTTGCCAAGCATTCTGCTGCTGAAGAGTCTCCATGCTGCCACCAGCCAAAATCCCCTCTTCATTGCCTCTGCCCACCAATTTCCATCCTCTTGTTTCCATTTTGGAGTTCCTTGCCTGGCAGATTGTGAAGGAGGGCTCGTAATACTTCCCAAGAGATTGGACACCCAACAGAGCCTGCCATACAGGGCTGACATTCAGGAAGTTGTCTACTTCAGTGTCAGACATACAGAGCCTAGTCATGTATCCCCACTTGTCCATACTGGTTTGAGGTGTGCTGACCGTGATCAGCCTGCTTGTTCATGGTCGAGGTTTTGGTCAGATCCACAGGCTGTATCAAGGTGGGAGATGATTTCTGAAAATGGCAGTATGGAGCTGCCTAACTTCTCTGATTGAAAACTTGATCTGAAGATTGGAATGTGTTTGTAACTTGATGATGGCAATGATCTTTTCAGAAGACCATATTGGTGAGTGTGCTGGTGCAAAAACATGGGATACACTCCTGCTGTGGGGTTTCTGGAGCACCACTGCCTTCATAAGCTGAATGGAGACTGGTCCGAAACCCTAAGATAGAGTATGAGGTTTGGCTTAGCCCTGGTGGCACAGCCCAGAGAGCCTCTTGCATGGTTCGACTGTATAGCTTTGACTTTGGAAAGCCAATTATGAGATGCTTCTTGCACATGAACACATCCTGCATTCATTTCACTGTTAAAGATGATGTGTAACAGAAGCCCTTTATCTGGAAGGCTCTTGCAGGCCCATACCCAGAACAATACCCCCAGTTTTTTCTCTGCATCAAACAAAAGTTCCATGTGCTCACCCTTTCTCCCCTTCCTGGTTCTTGGTTTTCCCAACTGGTAGCACTCTTCCTCTGAAACCACCATTGCTGCTATAAATTTATATACCAGACCTTTGAATAGTCCCTTATTCTCCTCCTGCTCAAAAATGCTCTTATCCCTTTTCATGTAATAATGAAAGCTGGACAGGGAGATGTGGAGCTTCTTAAAGGCCAGAGCATGAAGGTTGTCTCCAGCTGTATTAATGAGGGACTCTATCAGATGTTTGAGCCTGGCCAGCTCCACATTGTGGTCAGAGATGTAGCAGTTGCTGTACTTTAAAACAAGGCCAGTGTCATCAGAGATAATGTGGGTTGAGCCTATGAGCTTCAGTGCCCATGGCCAGACAACCAGCCATATCAATTTGATGCACTGAAATTCTGTAGGCATGGATTCACTCTTAGGCATAGTACTGGCAATCCAATCTGAACATTGGCCAAGTGCACTGAAATAACCATATGAAGTTTAGCTGGTTGAATACAAGATGTACTGTTCAAAACAAAAAACAATACCAGCAAAGGGGGCCAACATAGGATTTGCATTAGGACTGACTGAACTCATGTCATTGGTGTATGGGTCTGGAATGGCTTTGTCCTCCTCCTCCATGGCGTCAGGTATAGCACTTGTTGAGGAGACTGAGGCCTGCCTTTCTTCTTCTTCTCATCTGCAGCCAGCACCAGCATCTGCATGAGTGTGTGGTCAAGCTTCTGTGCATCTCCATCATCACCTTCTTCACCACCAATCATCAGCAAAGTCCTCTACCTCTGGAATTTTACCTGGAAAGCAAAGAGCTGTGTGAGGACTCAGAGCAGTGGGGTTTCCTTCACCTACACTGGGCTTGGTATAGAGGGCAGTTCCTCCACCCAGTGAGCTAACCCACTATGCGAAAAAGGCAACTCACCAGGTGAGCCAGCCTGAGCCTCACTGTGGGTGTTGCCGTCGTTGCATGTATTTTCTCTTAATGGAGTGATCTTGCCACTGGGGCTGTGTTCAATGTTCAGGTGGTAGATCTTCTCATCAGGTCTGAGCAGCATGGCATCAAGGTACTCATGCCTGGATGCAGCCCAAGTTTTCATGTAGAAAGTAGGGACTGTCACGGATAGCTAAAGCCCGGGTGAACCCGAAATCCACCCATATTTGGACTCAACTGATGGATTTGGGTAAGTACCCGGACTATCCGCAGGTATCCGTGGGTAAATTAGATATTTTTAGACCTTCTTGAGATATTTTGAGCATACATGCCCAGAATAGATAAGAGTGTTATTTGTACCCCCAACTCCCTTCCACCATGACAGAATGCTATCACAACAACTTCCTGGCCCCTGCTGCTTGTGGAAGGGGTCCAAATTGTGACCTGGGCTTTGTTCCCAGCTGTCACCCAAGCTTGTCACCAGAAATCTTTGAAATCCTGTTAATGAATTCAATTTTTAGTGAAAGCAATCACAATATGCCCCAATAAAAAAACAGGAGAACATTCAAATTTACCTTGATGAACCCAGAGGTATTGAAAGAACAATTTTGGTGACACAATGTGTTACAAAAAGCTATTTAAGAGGAAAAGAAATCATTGTCCATCTTTTTTTCAATCATTTGTGTAACTTTATTGAAGCTGGGTAGAAGGAGAATTTAATCAAGAATCTAAGAGCCATTTCTGCTCTGAATGTTTGAAAGTTGATATTGTGCTGGGTGAAATTGATCTGATTGTGACCAGTGGAGAATGCCCACTCTGCATCCACAGAAGTAGCTGCATCAATCATTGAAAGTAAAGGAAAATAAATGTGAATAATGCTGCTTACCTGGGGCTGAGCAGAAATCAGAACCCATTCATGAAAGTTGCAGTCGGGAATGTGATGCATTGTGCCTGTACATCATATAACCTCCCATTTCCTTCATTGTTTCTGTTGCTACCCAACCTAAATATCAATTGTTCTCAAAAGCATTTCTCTGAAACTGAAAATAAATACTCTCAAGATGGCCAAGGCATGCTAATACACACCCCCAACACTCTCTGTGATCAAGGCTCAGTTACAGCAGCATTATACAAGGAGAAAGACCTCAGATGATGATATATAAATAACTTTAGTTTCAATATACTCAATTTAAATAATATATGAATGACTTTTGTTTTAATATGAATTTTCCTGAATTTTTGCTTTCTAACACAATTTTTTTCATAAAGAACGGACAGGAAATGAACAAGATACACTCATTTATATAGCTGCTTGGTCACCCAGGCTGTTTACCCACGGATATATCTGTACTGTGCCTTATCTGATCCGTGGGTGGGAAAATCCGTGGATCGGGTACGGTTAATACCCGGGTATATCCATGACAGTCCCTAGTAGAAAGATTCCATCAATTCTTCATTTTCAAGAATGGAGTGCTTGTGTGGATTCTTTTGCATGATATATCACAAGGATGCCTTGAATGCACAATTTTATCAGAATGTGCTTTCATTTACTACCAAGCCCACTTTTCAGCAAAAAGGTACAGCAGTTACATATTGTTCTATATGTCTTTATTTACAGTTCTTTTCATTGATAGGCACAGAATCATCCTTCAGGAAGGTACACTTACCCAGTCGAGCAACAAGTATGAAGTACATCCTGCTTGGAATACTGGCAGCACTGAAGCCCATCTCTGGACTATGATATGACTTGAGAGCTATGACAAACTCCAGTAGAGACCCAGCTTTCACATTCAACTGCATCTGAGAGGTCAGCAAGCCTACCAGGAGTCCATGGACTCTGATTGTGAGGTCACCTTCTGCAATCACATCCTATTTAATGCCTAACAAGGGTTTGGCTTTGTCTGTTGTTTAACTTGAGCAGCCCACTCTTCTCTTGATAGAATTTCTGTGATATTTTTTCTTTCAAGTTCAGCAAGTATTTTTCCTGCTTTATCTCTGTGTTTCATTGTTGCTTTCCATTTTCTACACAACCAATCCCTAAGATTTAGCAGTGATTTTTGGTCAAGATAATTTACTTGAGTATCAATTGTATAGAGACTCTACCATCAAGACCAATTAACCCCCTTGCACTCGTTCCACTACTCAAAGAAGCTGTCATTGACAGCATGTATGAGGATGATGGATGACCTTAATACCAAACTCATCAGTCTTAGGAGGTTTGTATGATCATTGATTGATCTTACTAGTGTTTCCATGGTGTCAATCAAGCAAGCTGAATTTGGATTATTTTGAATCAAATTAACATCTCTGTCCCAGTCAGCCCTCTTCACAATTATTCTTCCCTCTGAGTTGAATTAGATTTTTCAAGTGAATAGGTTTACCATAAGTGTCTGAATTATTGTGTCATTATGGCTGCCAGACTCCCTTGCCACCTAATGTAAAAATTAGTTGATCAGATTGTGTACTTAAAGAAATTGGGCTAGCCAGACCTCAGGAGAGAAACAAAAATTCACCAATGGTCACCCATTCTTCTCTATAAACTCTTGTGAAAATTGGTTAAACTTGGCCTTGAACATGATGACATGTGCCTCTTTGGCCATTAATCATGTACCTCCAGGCTGTTGTTTTCAGTATCTGGGCTCTTCCTTCACAGATGTCAGTGAGGCAGTTTTGGTACCAGGACTCGCAACCCTCTGACCAGTAACACACATTGAGCACACTTTCCTGTTTTGGCCACCAAGAAATGTGCTCGACTTGGTTTTGAATGGACATGCCCATGATGTGGATGATGGTTGCAAAGTCTTTGAATGCAAGGAGATACCACTACTCCGAAAGGTGCAATTTGCCATTGACACCCATGAGACAGATCTTGTTGTTGCCATTGCCAGGGGCAGGAGCAATAGCAAGCTGAAGCTTAGTGTGGGTAGGAAACAGTGGGAACAACACCCGAGGACACATGTCAAAGTAGTGAGGGAGCCCTTGGGCCAGCCTGGATGACAGTGTGCTGTTCCACATCTCGTGGATGGCTTTGTCATTGTGCACATTGTCCATGATTCTGCCATGAAGGTGGAACTTTGCCTGAGCCTGTTTCACAGCCATTGGTTGATTCATGTGGTGTTGGCTGGCAACATAGTCTTTGGGCACTTGGAACCCATAAAAAAGCTGTTTCAACTTGCTAGTAGCTAAGGGCTTGCACAGTGCCATCTTGGTGGTGTCATACACCTCCAGGTTCATAAATTGTATGTAAGTGGCACTAACTCTGAAATGCTGCCAGTTGCACTGGCCACTAATGCAGGAAACTATGTACCACTGAAATTGGGATGATACTTTGAAAGATCACAAGTGGGTAGGTTTTATTAACAGCAATTTGAGCACATTTTGAAAAGGACACAGCCAGAGGAACATGGGGGAAGTATAATAGCTGCATGGCCATTTTTCACAGAAATTGAGAATAACAAATGAGGTAGTAATTACAAGGAGCACAAACGAGGCAGTTTTGATAGGAGAAATTTGAATTGCTGCTTTGAAATGGACACACCTGGAGTGAGGGACATGCAGAGTGTTATAAAGTGAAGGACAGAGGCAATGAGGTAACCAAATAAGGTGATTATTTGTCAGCTTATCTCCTTATATAGTAGAATGGTCCTAGTGGAGGAAAAGAGTCTTACTATGCCTTACCAAATAAGGAAAATCTCCTTTTTTATCCACCTGCAGGACATGGCACATCTCCACCATTGTGAAGAATATCTGGGTTCAATTGATTGTTTTCCATCTGTCAAACATGTATTTCTAATCTGCTACAGCCTGTACAGCCCAGAAAATGTGTGAGGGCATGCAGAAGGTCACCCTCCCTCTCCATGCCACCTGGTGACTATGTTTCAATTGACTTGTTTTCTTTTCATGGCAAGATGGTAGACTGTAGCCTCATCAAACACATGTAGCTGAGCAGTACTAGATCACCTTGATTGTGAATATGCAGGGGAGACAGAGCATAAATACAAGAGCAAGGACATGAATAGGCATGGAAACAATGGCACAAATAACAGACAAACATCTGACTCATCATATAGTTGTTTATGTTCTATATCATGTGATACAAGAGTCATATGATATAATCATGTCATAGGTCAGATGATGTGATGATGTGATATGTCATGTGATATGGTCATGTGATATGGTTATGTGATATGGTCATGTGATATGGTCATGTGATCTGTCTTTCAAGGAAAGATTTTGGCACTTATAACAAAAAAGGAGAAAAATGATTTAAACTGTTGTTGATGGCCTGTGCACATTTTCTATTATGGAAATATATCCAGAAAATCAGACAAAAAGGGAATAAAGGAGGAATAGATACATTGTCTGTATACATTTCCTAATATGATAATTAATACAAATACAGCTGAAAAATAAGAAAGAAAATCCAATATAGCCAGAAAATTAGAATAAAAACAGAAAAATAATGGACTGTTGTTAACAATATTGATTTACTGTTTACTTGGTCTGTGCATAAGTGATTAATGAAAATATAACCAGAAAATCAAAATAAAAGGAGAAAAATAATAAATTATTATTAATAGAAGTAAAAAGGCAAGTTTAGGATCAAAATTATACTCAAATAAATTTTGTAGAAATGTTGAATCCAGAAGATAAAAGTTTAGAAGGTAGAAATTTTTGAAGCTAGAACCCCAGATACTCGGTGACAATGGCAGGAAATGTTTGGCCTGTGTGACATGGTCAAAAAAAATTTCAGCAGTGTGACATAGCTAAAACATTTCCTACCAGTCTGAAACACTTCAAACATCTCCTACCACTCTAACATGCTTCAAACATTTTGGCAAACATTTTTGTCCAACGCAATAATATCTTTTTTTTTCCAGAGGGAAAAACATAAACAGCCAAGGGATCTATTTGCCTGGATAATTTAGTGCACACATCATAATTAACAATGACCACACCATGCTAGCCATTAACTCTTCTGGCCCAAAAAGTGTGGGAAACAGTTCCCAACCTAAATGCGCACTGTGCCTGACATCAGGTCTGTCAGAAAAAAGTGTAACGCTTTTCCCAATTAGGAAGTCACCCAACTAGGAAATAGTGCACACATCATCATTAACAATGACCACACCATGCTAGCCATTAACTCTTCTGGCCCGAAAAGCGTGGGAAACAGTTCCCAACGTAAATGTGCACTGTACCTGACATCAGGTGTGGCAGAAAAAAGTGTAACACTTTTCCCAATTAGGAAATAGTGTGCACATCAAAGGATATACTATACATGGGTCAAAGCTATTGGTAAATATCTGTCAACAAACATCCCAATGAGGGTATTCTGCCTACAAAATAATAGGTAAATCCCCTATCCCCTATATTTAAAAAAATCCCAAGTTTTTCTCTTAAATATAGGACCCCAGACACCCCTTGTGGCTGAAAAAATATATCCTTAGTCAACCCTAGCTGCAAAATATATCCCAAGTCCATCCCAGACAAGAAATATATTTCTACATTGTGACAGTCAGAATTCAGGGTCCAGGCATAAGAAATATATTTGGAGTCCATTCCAGTGAGGAAATATGTTTTGGGGTATGTGACACACTAGAAATATATTTAGTGTGACATTGGACAACAAAATATATTTAGGTAAAAGTGGAGATATACAAGCCCCAGAATATATACAATATAGATATACACCCTGACAGTTAGTCCCGTAGTATTCATGGAGTTTGCAAGACTAATAGTCAGTTGTCAGTGGGTGACTGAAGTGCCTTCAACTATAGCACCCTGAATCTATGTACTTATTCACAATAAACCAATGATACAGCAATGGCAAAATGGCCACCCTTCTCACTCCTTCAACCATAGACCCATGAACATGAACCCACTACAAAAACCCATGGGTATTGCACCAGTGGCCCATACTCAACCTGTAATGTACCTGTACCCACAACCCATTTTGTAGTCTAAAAAGCGGACACTACAAAGTTTTGTAGTCTGAAAAAAGGAAACTACAAACATTTGTAGTTGAAAAAGCGGACAATATAGAATTTTATAGTCTCAAAAATCGAACATTACAAACTTTTGTAATCTCAACAAGCAGACACTACAAAATTTTGTAGTCTAAAAGCGAACTTTGTAGTCACAAAAAGTGGACAATACATACTTTTGTAGTCTGGAAAGCATATACTTCAAACTTCTGTAGTCTCAAAGAGCAGACTCTATAGTCATCTTTTCAGCCAGATTTATGGACCATTGACACTCAGCATACTAATTACAACTCCAGACATGTTTTCAGCCAGATGTTTGGAGCCCTGAAATCCAGGCATCTTTTCGGCCGCATTTTTGGGCCAATTCCAATGACATTTAGCATGTTAAATACACATCCGGATGTTTTTTTCGCCGCATTTTCGGAGCAGTGACATTTACCAAGTCAACTACAAATCCAGACATTTATTCAGCCGCATTTTTGGGCAACATCATTCAGCATGTTAAATACAAATTCGGATGTTTTTTTGGCAGTGTTTTCTGGCAAATGAAATTCTAAATTTTGGACATTGGAGTATTCCACCTGTCAAACTTACATTTGAAATTTTGGTCATTGGTGCACTCTGCAAGGATCATTATATCTGGATGGAAATGACCTACACATTTTCGGACTTCAGAGCATTTCAGGGGCTGTCTGGTCTGTGTCAAGATTACATCTGAAATTTTGGACATTGGTGCACTAATACAAATCCGGATGTTTTTTCGGCCGCATTTTCGGGCAATTGAAGTACTAAATTTCAGATATGGAGCATTCCACTGGGGTCGTCTGGCCTCTGTTAAAATTACATCCAAAATTTTGGATAATGGTGCACTCTACCCAGATCATTATATTCGGATCAAAATGACCTACAAATTTTCGGACTTCAGAGCATTCCATAGGAGTTTTCTAGTCTATGTCAAAATTGCATGCAAAATTTCGGACATTGGTGCACTCTTTGGAATTGGTGCACTAATACAAATCCGGATTTTTTTTTCGGCCGCATTTTCAGAGCAGTGACATTCACCAATTTAATCCCAAATCTGGACATTTTTTCGGCCACATTATCAGAGCAATGACATTCAGCATGTTAAATACAAATCCGGATCTTTTTTTGGCCACATTTTTGGGGCAGTGACATGCACCTCAACCACAAATCTGGACATTTTTTCGGCTGCATTTTTGGAGCACTGGTATTCTGCGTGCTAGTGACAAATCTGGACCCTCCTTTAGCCGCATTTTTGGGGCAGTGACATCCAACATGTCAACCACAAATCTGGACATTTTTTCAGTTGCATTTTCAGAGCACTTGCATTCAACATGTCAATGCTCTGGGTGATCTCTTGAGGGCATGTGGCCCAACATTTGGCCATTCCATAGATTATACTTTGGGTACCTATGGTATCATTGATTATAGCAATAATCACATCTGCAGAATATGCATTGTGCCACACATCAATACCATATGTTGTATGGATCCATTGGTCCCAGGTATGGATCCATAGTGTCCATGTGTATTGCGCCCATTGGGGTAGACCTATGACTTATTGGGACAATTGTCAATTTATATTGTTATGGTACTATAGTGACATCTATGTATACTTGTGGCACATTGCATAGATAGTATCCATCCACATTTCATGTGAAACCCATGCACATCCTGCACACCACATAGACATACATTCACATTTCACACGAAACCCATGCATTCTATGGACATGCACAGGATCCCTACTTTCCTGGCCTACTCCATGCAGCCGGCAGTCTGCAATAAGTGTGGATTCTAACTGCTGCAATTGGACACCAAGGTTCAGGGTCTAATTTGCATATAAACCATAGTGATTCTCAATCCACAATCTTAAATTTCTTGATTTTGGGATTCTGACAATGACTATGGAGTTCATATTTTCAAAATGACCTTCTCCCCAGCTACCTGAAACCTTGATTTATAGCTTCAATCAATTGACTGGTATAGGAAGGGCTGTGGCATCAGGTTGCCCAAATTTGGTAATGGGGTGGAAGAAGGATGAATCAATTCAGAGCCAATGAAGAAGAAGGTTCAAAGGAAGAGATCTTTGACGTGGTTTGAAAAATTTTCAACCAAGGTTAGGAAGAAAGTGGTCAGTCGTAAGGTTATTTTTATTTGAATTCTACCCACTCCTTAATTTACAACAGAAAATCCAGGCATCGGAAATCCAGGCATAGATGCCAACATTGAGGCAATGGAAGCGGTTATGCTTGAAATGGAAACAGCACCCATCGAAATTGATGCAGAGGTTGTGGTCGCAACAGAGTTACTCAGAGAGTGTTTCATGCCACTCGACCCTCAAGCTTCTACTCCAAAGTCATGCAGAATAGAATTAGGTATGGTTTACAAATTGATGTGTAAGACAAACATGGTAAATTTTACAGATTTAAATTGAGTTCATTCACATCCTTTCAACCATCCATGGGTAGAGAAAGGTGGAACTTCAATGCCTTTTCTTATGGTTTCCTTTTTTAAATATGTTCAAGCCAGAGTTGGATAACCTGTATTCATACCCCAATAACCTTTGCAGTGGGAATTATTCACTATTTTGCTTTTTTTTCTGTCATTTTATCATAATTTCACCTATCAGCCATGCCTAACAGATGTATGTCTTGCAGTCCAATGAACCTCAGGAGCCAGGCTCAAGTCATACAGTTCTTGGATGAGGGGAATAGGAATGGCAATGAAGACAATGAAGATGAAAATGAAGATACAGACAAGGAACAAGAACAAGCATGTCTCAAGAAGGACAACAACACCCATCAGCTAAAGCTCAAAGCACTGAATTTCAATTCACCAGGCAGCAATGAAGACAGGAAAGTCCAAGTCTCTTCACAGTGTATCATCAACTAATAGCCATTTAAATCTTGAACATTTGCTGGGCAATAAGTTCCTTTGACTCCATGTCAATGCTTTAGCTGTGAAACAATGCTTGAGAAATTGTCTGCAACAGCACTATTTGAACTAGATAGTTTAGAGTGAGCATATCATAAGACAACAACCAATAGTAAGTGGCTGAGCCAACTTTTTGAAAAAATGGGGACTCATCACTTCAGTCACCCATTTTTGGGTACCTGTGAGGTTATCCAATTCTTTGAATTAGGGAACCTTAGTGGTACCCCATTCCAGAGTGGTATGACCCTCATACCAATTCCATCATACCATGGTATGGATGCCACATACCATTCCACCTCATACCATACCATACCATACCATTCCATACCATTCCATACCATACCATACCATCATTCCATAGCTGTCACAGGGTGTCTGGGGTCCTTTTTACAAAATATGAAAATTATTTCTCCAGGCTGTAATACTGATCCATTGGGCTCCATTTTTTGTGGACTGGTTCTTCAGATTTCTTCTGACATTTTAAGCTACAAGTGGAGGCTATAGGGTGAACTTGATCTTTTGAAAATTCACTTGAAAATTAGCTTGATTGGGCTTTATCCCAGGGTTTGGCCATTTTCACTGTGGATAATCCATCACAAGCCACTTAAAAGTGTATATCTTGCCAGGCCATTTATATTCATGACAAATAAATTAATGTTGTATCCATCACAATGGCATGGCCTCTGAAGGAAAACAAGAATTTTGCAAGACTTTATTTATTGCAAAGGCATGAACTTTAGCCAAATTACTACCCAAGGCAAGGATGCCTTCTTCAGATAGAATATGTTCAAAATTTGCCATTTCTGAAAAAGTACGGGGTCATTCCATAGGAATGGGATCATCAAAAAACTTGGATTTGGAATCTCCTCATATCTGCCACTCAGCAGAGCCGGCATTGTGTGGAATTTTGATTTGAACACAAGCAGGCCAAGACTTCTAATTACAAGCTTCAAGGTATCATTATTAAATATAGCTATTCTAATTTAAATCAAAATTCTGTCTTTCATACAATTAATCAGGGATGGTGAAGAAGTCCATGACATTGACAGCAATATGAACAAATGCTATGGACATTCACCTATGAGGGAGCAACTTGGGAGATGCTCTTGGAACAGATTGCCAATTCCTTATCCCACATGTCTCCAGAATCATACAATAGAGATGGAATCATACCATGAGTATGGAACCATACCATACCATGGGCATGGAATCATACCATACCATGGGCATGGAATCATACTATGGGGGTGGAATCATACGAGAGCTTGGCCATCACATTGTTTACAAATTTTGAGAGTCCACCCTATGCCTGTCTGGGGTGGTCTATCGTTTTGCTTTCATCTGTGATATAGTTACTGTTTGCCACCTAGCAACAAAAGCAATTTGCCCCAACATAGTGCCACATTTATCTTTGACTTGGTGAATCTTGGGCTTCCTACAGATGTGTATGATCAATCTTGAATGCTGTTCCTGATTGAGAAGAGGACCCCATAAACCAGTCACATCAATGGGTCAGGTTGATATTACAGTTTTTCCCTTGACTGTCCCCCATTCTCCTGATGCAAGTCTAACTGGTAGGCTTTTTTCACCAGAGGAACTAGGAAGAGAAGGGCTAATGCCAATTTATTAAGTAATGTTCATTGCTCATTTTCCACCAAGCGGGATGGTAACATCTGCTCTGATATTGAAATCATGGATATCATGGCTGACCCAGACACATTTGTTGCAATGCGCCTCTTGCTCTTGTGTGATGTCTCCAAAGTTGGCCATGTTGTATGGCATATATTGAACAATCAGGGTGAATGGGTGCATCATGCAGGTTTCCCACCATACAATGCTTATTTGGAGTTTTGGGACACCCACATCCTGGCATTGTACTACCCATTAATTTCATGGGAACCCACTTTGTCTACAACACCAACTGGCATCATCATCTCTCATTTGAGATATCTGCACTACATCCAGAACTCTCTTTCAAATACCAGCCAAAATCATGACAGTGATTCATCCAACAGATCCAAATATCTACCTGTGCAGAAACTAGAGTACAGTGAGCAATCTCTTATACTATTTCCAATCTTAGAATCATATAACACATAACAAAGGGCCATGAATTGAATTACATATGCTACAGTAAATTGTACTCTCAGGATTCATCATCTTTTGACTCATCCCCTGTACCATACAAGTGCAAATTATGCACGACAACCTGAACCGGGATGATGATGTACCTGCCACACCAAGGACTACACAAAGATGTGGTCATCCTTCAAAGTCTTCATTCAGATCCCAAGAAATGGAGATCCATACTTTATCATGGTACATGCTGCATCTGCAGAGGATGGTTCACTGTCTTCCATGACAAGGTTCACTGTACCATTTTGATCAATTCAGCAGCCAATCTTTTTTGATTAATTTTTTCTTGATTTGTCCTAGTAGTATTACAACCCAAAAAACTGCCATGCCTGGATTTCTATACCCTGCCTGTTTTGCACTCCCTCCCATCCCTCAATTCCTATGTTCTTGGGTTCACTTTGTAGCCCCCATTTGTGCAGTTCCAATGAACCCCTTTTTGTCCAAATCCATCAAGAATTGGTAGAACTAATAATAAAATACTGTAAAATAGTAATATAATAGATTTGATGCAGGGAAAAGCTATTTTTAGTATTGACTCATTTTGAATGCTCTGAAACACTCCATTCAACACTCTGGACACTCCTCCTGCACCATCAACACTCCACCCACATGGACACTTCTCCCACACCATTGATGCTCCCCCCCCACAACCGATGCTTCTTTCACACCATCAATGCTCTTCCCATGCCAGCAGTACCCCTCCCCCCTACTGATGCTCTCCCCACACATACATGGGGTATTCCCACACCATCAATGCCACTCCCCTCTCTCCCCACATGTACATGGGGCATTGTCACACTCATATAGGGCATTCCCTGCACCACACCACTACCCTCCCAGCAGCTACCACCACCCTCAACTCAAGCCCATTTGTGAGCCCCCACTGGGATCAGTAACACAGACAAACCCACCACCAACCATGCCATGAACCCCCCCCATCCCTCAAGCACCTACAAGCCATTGGAAACAACACCAATTTCTTGTTGGTACTGGTGGTGTCGCTTTCAATGGTTAGGGTCCTGACAAATGCCAGTTAGGAAGGTGTGTCCCTGCCCCATCATCTCTTGTCTTCGCACCTCGCTAACCTTCCTTAGGGATATTGACCATGTAGGACTTGAACCCTAGTACTGACCATAGAGCTGGTGTCATCATCAGCACTATTAACCACTCAGTCATGGTGAAGTTAAAAGACAACTGCCTAATCAACATGACATACTACAAGTCCATTGTACTTAGAAGAAAAAATTGGGAGAAACATTGCTGTTTACATAGCATTTAGTGGTTGGGCATTGTATCCTTGTCCTCATCTAGGACTGGATTGGATGCATATCATTACATCAATCATCGCACTACAGATATGATCTGACGAAAATATTGCGACCCTGCTCCTCTTGATGGGTCAGCACCTAATTTGGTTATTGAAGCAGAGACCAAAGACGGGGAAAAATATTTGAAACGAGCATTTAATACTCAAGCATGTGAACAATTGAATGGGTGGCTTGGGGGATTTGACTCTATCTTGAAAAGGATGACTGTTGACAATTTCAATTGGTTTTTGCATGCAATGTTATTTTACCATACCCGATATGTTCTTGAGAAGATAAAAAAGAGAGAAGAAAAGATGAAAAAAGGAGACAATGGTGATGGTGATGATAGTGATGATGATGCTGGTAGTGATGATAATTGATTAGTAGATAAAAGGTCATATTTTTGTATTATGTCAATCAATTCAACAACAGACTATTTTTAAGTGTAAGAATTTTATTCCATGAAGTCAAGAATTTTATTCCATAGAGTTATTCCATATGGATTCCATATGGATTCCACCCTGAAAATGGTATACTATAAGTGTAAAATTATGATTCCATGGAATCCACCCACCAAAAGCCTGGAAAAGTATGGATTCCATCTGGAAAAAGCATGGAATCCATCAGCCAAAGCATGGAATCCATCTGGAAAAAGCATGGATTCCATCAGCCAAAGTATGGAATCCATCTAGAAAAAGCATGGACTCCATCTGACATTCCATGGAATCCATCTGGGAGAAGTATGGAATCCATCTGACATTCCATGGAATCCATCTGACATTCCTGGAATTCACCTCCCATTCCATGCAGTCCATATGGAATAACCCGGGGAGGGTAAAGTATTGTCAATTTGTGCCAGAGTATGTGGATACCAATGCATCCATGGATGTGCTGCGGATCAACTCCCTGAACCAGTGTGCTATCCAGTCCATATTTCCACAATCCCATTGCAGTGGTGTGTTTGCTGGAGGAATCGACGTAATACTGCTTTTCTAGTTCAGATGTGATTGGACCTCCATGAGCTCGGATAATGAAGCTTGTGTAATTCCACCAGAATATAATCTTCATGGCTTTGTCCCATGGGGGTTGTAGACTTTTGTGGTCATTCTTGTTGATGTTGTTGTGGTCATTGTGTGTCATTGTCATGCTATGCTGTCATGACATGGCATTGCCATGGCATTTCTGTTGTTGTTGTCTGCGTGCGTCGTGGGGCTGTAAGTGGTCATGGTCATGGTGCTCGTTGATGTTGTTGTTGTGGTGGTTGATGTTGTTGTGGTGGTTGATGTTGTCATGGTGGTCATGGTCAGGTGTTGTGTCATTGTCGTGGTGGCCTTAGTTGTTGGTAAAAGAGAAGGGTGACATGATGTGTCACATATGAAAACCAAGGTCAACAAACATGTGCACAGGATGCATCACATCATGTGATGCATTCCAAGCACATGTCCATGGGTCATGTGACTCATCATATGCATCAATCAAATACAAACCCAAATACAAACACTTCTACCACCTTCCCCATCACCGTCACCACCTTTCGTGGCTACTGATTCACATCGTGAGCACCCGCAATGGGCTAAACGACCTGTTTGCTCACACATCGACCACCACCTCATGCACTGGATGCTCAGCAACAACATCCATGACCACGGCGCAATGAGCACCTGCGATGTTGACAGCAGATGGAGATGATGTGGCACATCAAATGGTGAGTACAGTGCATTGTAAGCCCTACCGGTCCCCCTATTTATCCTCACAATGCCCAGCAGCCATCGTCACACCTGCCAACCACTGCCACGTCACTCCCTCGCCCTCTGCCACCTTTGGTATTGACGACAACACATGACAACGGCCATGTGATGACGATGGAGATAGGTGGATGACGATAACACAACATGGCAGCGACAACAGATGACCACCACGATGATCGACCACCGATAGATGATGTGAAGAATATGAGACAGGCGACGATGGACAATAACAAGGATGCGCGAGTGCTCCCCCTGCCCCCCTGCCCCTCGTTGTTCACCCTTGTGTAGTACTTGTATATTTAGTAAATTACATACACATTTACCCCATGTCAGTAGCTACGAGACCGGTCCTCAACCAGTCTCAACCAGTTAAGACTGAGACTGGTTGAGACTGGTCTTTCAACCGACAAAAACCGACAAAAACTGCACTGAACCGGTTGACATCGGTTCAGTCCAGTTTTTCGAGGTTTGTCAACCTGTGAGGACCGGTCTCAGTCCCGGTCTTGTCAAATTTTGACAAAAGACTGGACTGGACTGGACTTCCAAGCACTACTTCCCCCTTCCTTTTCCCTGTCCCTACCCCCTTCCCCCTTCCTTTTCCCTGTCCCTTCCTTGTCCACCCCCATTTCCTTCTACCCCCTTCCCTGTCCTCTCCCTCCCTGACCACATTAGATTCTATGCTCAAATATCAGCTTTGTATCAACTTCTAAGGTGGCTTAAGGTCTGACTTCATAAAATATTGATAGAAAGTGGTTACTCCAGTAGGAATCCCATCTCTGAAACATTGTATTCACTTTGTTTAAGTTCTATTGGAGTCCAGTAGGAGTTCAGTAGGAGTTCAGTAGGGGTCCAGTAGGAGGGGAATGTGAAAATGCTTTTTTGGAAAGAATGTTGAAATCCAGTAGGAATCCAGTAGGAATCCTACTGGACTCCTGGAGTCCGGTAGGAATAGGTGGAGGAGTGATAAGTATTGGAAGCAAGCCAGAGTGGAGGCCTTTCTTGAGGAGGAGGTCATGAAGAGCATAATGTGAGCTTCATGAACTTTTTTCAACCGTTGCCTAAGCTGAGCTTCCTGCTAGAGGCTGGATGACTTCAGTAGTGAAACTCATGTTCCCAGGAGTTGTGTGGAGGTTCAGAAAGTGTGCTGACTGCAACCAAAAAACCTATGGGTTCAGGCTGCTATTCAAGCTATTCTTCAACCTCTGCATCAATGCATGCTTCCCAGGTCAAAGAAGGATTCACTGAGCCCCTCACGCCCATGTCAAGAACATTGTTGGTGTCTGTGTTCTGGTGATCTACCATCTCAATGGTAATTTGAAGAGTTCTCTCACTGTGAAGGTGCTGACTCCTCCTCATCAAAGAAATTCAACCACAAAGGAGGTCATGGCTTGTACTTTGTAAGGCAGGAATTGCCATAGAGCTCCCACCTTGGGTGCTGGCACTTCCATTTTAATATTGACCTGGCTGATAAGCCACCTCATACATCCAACATAGTCATGCTAAACTCCAACAGATTTTGAGTAACTGCACTTGAGAGGGAGAGACCTACCTGCCAAAACTCAGAGCCACTGGTGAAGGTGACAAGCAGGGGCATGGCAGCCTGGTCTATTTCAATGAGGCAACCATGTATCAATGGTTTGAGACAAATTGTGCTACACTCACATTACTACTGCAATTGGTATGGTCAGAAACATCTTGCTCCCCTGGAGGAGTTGATGGGACTGCTCTGTTCCTCAACAAAGGGCCTCCTGTTGTCCAATGAGTCTAATTCAACAAATGAGGCATTAGGCTCTGACCTCAGGCTGGATTCACCCACACTACACATTGGTGCTCAGAGAGTGTCTATTTGAAGATAGGCGCAGAATGGATATTTTTCGTTTAGTAGTTAATCCTAGTAAAGGATTATCATACAGTCAGAGGTCACTCCTGTTCTTCAGAATGTGATGACCAATAAAAGTCGAGGAGACAGACATTCGGTATTTCCCAAACCAGTTAACGAACTCCAGATTATGTCTAGACTGTCTTATCTTCCTTATCTTAGGGCGCTGCACCCATACATATCTCTGAGTCAGAATGATGCAAGATGCTTATCAGAACAATAGAAAATCTATTAATAGAATCCTTATTGTTTGATGACGTCAACGAATGCATAAACAAAGAACCTGAAGAGCTTATAAATGCGAAACAGGGTTGTGTTGCTACCCAGCAGCACCTGTTGTTCTTTGCTTCGCCTCTAAGCCTTCCAACCTATGTCTTCACCGCCACTTGCCTTCGGCTTGTGGCTCCTCCTCCAACTCAGGCAAGCAGGTCATAATCTTGACAATGGATAAGAATGGGATAAATTGGGTAAAAATAAGAAGAAAAAAGAGAATTATTCCTGGGTTAAAAAGGCAAGTTTAGGACCAAAATTATTTTTATGATAAATTTTGTTGGGAAGTTGAATCCAGAAGATAAAAGTTTAGAGGGTAGAAATTTTCGAAGTTTTTGGGATTTTACCTTCAAATGGACCGCAGGGGTAATAAGAGGTGAACTTGGATGGAGAAGAAGAGGGGGTCTGACATCACATAGTTCATTTATTTGAGAAGTGAATGCCTCATGCCCCCCCTTGAGAAGACTGGTTTCAGCCCCTTGCAGCATGAAGTGGTGGCCAGTACCACTACCCAGCTGGAACTGGAGCTCTGATTCCATAAACATGAGTGATACATTGAAAGCATTTTGTAAATAGAGTACCATTATTGATGGAATCACCAGACAGGTGATCAGCAAGATTTCATCATTGTAAAGTGACATTGCTTCCTCAATGTCCATTGGATCATGAAATTGTAGCATAATAGCGATGCCATGTCAGATGATGGGTGAGCTGAAATATTGGCAGTGTTTTCCTGTGTAAAAGTCACTTGTGGATGCCTGTGCCAGCTGTTTGAAGATTCTTCAGTAACTGCACTTGAGAGAGTCCAAACTAGTCTCTGATAGTGTCAATGACTGGGTATCACCAACTGTATTCTGCAAGTGATCATGCAGCCTTCTGACCATGGCTTGGAGGTGCTTGATGAGCTAGCCAGTGAATTTTAAAAACACAGGGGTCACCAAACACATTTATTTGCTCTAGATGTGGATGATGACATCTGGCAGGATGTTGGATTAGATGAGAATGAAAGTGAGGTTATACCTGGCTGGCTTGGGGATGAGAAGATTTGTGAAGGAATCAAAGGAATGCTGACAACCAAGAGATGTGCAGAAGAGATGGCTAGAATCAAACAAGAGTGAACAGCCCTGCAGGAGTGGTCAAGGGAAGAGTGGGAAGCTATCAATATGGCCATTCTTATGTGTGGTAAGCTTGTTTGAATTGCTATTTGAGTGTATCTAACAGTACTGTTCTTTATTACAGAGGATGAAGACATTGAGCATCAGTTGGTTATCAGAAAGTCAAGACATCTGAGTTTGTGTGCACAGTGGAGGGAACAGGTGTCTCTGATTCCTGGAGGTCTTTATTGTCCCCCACTGATTCCTGCATGATTCCTGAGGATTCCTGAGGATTACCAGGACTCTATATTGACTGATGTGCCAGCCAATTTTTTGAGTCCTGTGGGGGTGTATTCCTGAGGACTGGAGACAGTCCTGAGGATTTTCAG